CAGTAACTCCCCCCGCCCCAAAGGGTGGCGTTGAAAAATTTTCCGCTCCTTTGGGGGGCGGCAGCTTCAAAAAAGTTGAGAATCACTGCTCTAGCCTAATGTTACCCTCTTTGAATGGCTGTGGCTTTCCAGGATCTCAGGCAAATTTCTGATTACCCTATCTTAATCTGGAGATGCCTGATTATATTGAACTTCTACATATTTAAAACAGCCATTATATCACTGAACTAGAGTTCTCCTGTTCTAAGAACATGAGGAACAGGATGGCTTTTCTCCTAGAAGCATCTCCAATATTGACTGCAGTAGTTTTCCCAACTGTTTTTCTCCAATTGTCTCTTTTGATATTAAAAATAAGTATTACAGTTCTTTAATTTCCATAATGAAAACTAAGGATTGATTGTAACAGACATCTTTGTAATGCTGCCCTTCTAATTTTTGTTTTGGAAACTTCTGGAGAAAGTTGTGGATTTTGCTGTACCAGAACAATCCAGAACAATATCATTTAGCTAGCTAGCTGGCTATTTATTTATTTATTATATTTAAATTTATAGGCTGCTCAACTCCATTAAGACAGTTTAAAAGAATGTAATACGAAACAATACAAAAAACAAATACAGTATCTGGGAAAAATAACACAACTCTAATAGAGCAAATCAGCTCACAAAGGGGCTGCCACCCTTTCAAGCCCAGGGCCTGGCAGAAGAACCAGTTTTAAGGGTTCATTTAAATAAGGTCAGAGTAGCAGCTGTATGAATCTCTGGGGAGATATCATTTCATCAAGTTCTTTGGAAACACTGCCGATTATAAGAAAGTGAGTCCAGGGTATCACATTATCATTGAAAGGCCAAAAGAAAGCACTAGGAAACACATCATGCTTACCTTTGCGTTTAAGAGACATCAAGGAACGGAAAAAACCTGAGGAAATGCTAACTCCACCAGGTAATTGGGGCTCTTCCTCACCCATCAGCTGAGCTAGCTCTGTTCCAGGCAAGTCAATCAATCTGGTAATATTGCTGACCACAAGCTCAGTGAACGCCTCAGGCTTCTCATGTCTCAGCTTCTCCACAAAGAAGTCTGGATTAAAGATGATCTGATGCCTCTGAAGAGAAGACTCATTGCAGATAACAAAACTGCAAATGGCATCACTGTGGAAGATAGTCATGCATTACTTCACGAGGGACATGCATATACAATATAACAATAATCTTTGGCCACGCAGACAGCCAAGCTAAAATGGGTTACAATTCAAACTGTACAGATAATGTTTTTACATAATCTGCATCTCTTTTAAGGATGCAACTCTACCCGTTTGTGCAATATGCAACATGCCAGAGTACTGATCATGCTGGCTGCAATGAAAGAGAAGCTACAGTGATTTGCATGTTATGCTACCCTGAAGGAATACACATTCTCCTGTCAAGCTAAACAACAAACTATATAATTGACCAATGTTTGGCAATTGTAGTTCATACAAATTAATTGACATAGAGAACATCAAATTTACTCTAAGATTTATTCTTAAAAAAGGTATTCACTCAGCTTTTAACAATCTTTCTATAATATAAGCACAGAAATAACATTTCTTTTACAAGAATAATATTCTAAAACAGTAAGAACATATGGAAATTCAGAACAGAGTCACCAAGGAAGTTACATCAAAGCTACAGAGATATGGCATCCTGTGGATATCAAATGTTGTATTCTGCTCTTCTTGGATGGAACATGAGGGCAGCATGTAGTTGGACAGTAGAAATATAATGCAATTATTTTCTTAGAGGCAAATTATGTGGCATTTGTTAAGTTATATACTATATAAAAATCAAAGAGTTTTCTGAATACACACAATGCATAGGAAAACACTCTCCACTGAATTTACCCATTTTTGTATGAGATTTTCTAGTACTCCAACACGGTGGAATATTTTTATCAAAATTATTCAGAACTACCCTAGGCAGCCAGTACTTGCCACTGTAGAAAATTGCAACAGATTTCCCTTTGCAGTGCCAGCCTGAAGTTGAACTGGATAATGAGAACCTGAAGCAACGCATCCAAACAATGAAGTTGGCAAAATCACTCCAAAAGCAATAAGCCACAGAAGAGAACAGTTCTCTATCCCTGAGCAAGTAAGCTGCCAAGAATAATCTAGTTCTAGCACTGCTTCATAATGAAGCCCTGCCGTTTGATGTGTTTAACAAGCTGAAAACAAGATGGAGCCCTTCAGTTCAAGCAGCTGGGGATGAATGTTGATTGACCTCATACTTGTACTTCATTACACTGTTTTAAAATACACACTAGCCAGGCAGAACAACTTAAATATGACTTATAAGCCAATCACAGACCCAACATCTCCTTCTAAGGAAGACCAATGTGATTGTTAATGTCTTGCCCCAACAAAACTGCTAAGTCTATACAACATCTATGTCACCTATTCAAAGCTTCATCCCCATTTTCTAGACTTTAAAGAAACCTTACCCATTTTTCAAGCCATAGTTAATGGCCAGTAGATACCTGCCTATTTGAGGACTTTTAATTCTTAATTTCCAGGAAATCTGAAAGCAACTATTTCTGAAATAAATAGAAAGACAAATCTCTTACACAAGTGCTGAAAGTTTCTGGCGCGGCATTGGGAAGCAGAGATGTAATGAGAAGAACTCATTCCTTGTTTTCAGAAATAGAACTGCCTGCTCCAACACAGCCTATGCAAATTCCACACACAATAAACAACACAAAGGCTTATTTGTTGGCCCTCTTCTCACAAATAATCAACTTTCATTAATGTCAGAACAGAACTCAGACCAACCAACTTAGATCACTTTTATAGAACAGAAAAGTGAGAATAATTTTCTTTTACACACTATGTTCAGAGTTTTTAAAACTATAGCTTTAAAGAGTTCTGGGTAAGAAAAACTCCAAAACTGTTTATTCAAATTCTGTCTCTTGGATGTATTTCCTTATTCTATTCTATTCTATTCTATTCTATTCTATTCTATTCTATTCTATTCTATTCTATTCTCTATATACTTATACATACATACAATTGAGCAGTATCCATGTATTTGGTGCTTTATAGAAAATAGATCCCCATCCTGAAGAGCTCACCACTTCAGTTGTCCAGTTAATTCAGGGGAAGCTAGTATTAATCTCTCAAAGTTTACAGCGTTAATGCTTAACCCAAGATTTCTATGTCTTCCACTGGTTTTACCTTCTTTTCTAAAATCTTCTTCCATGACACCTCATTCATTATCTAGTTTATGAAGCCAATTCTTACACGAGGTTTTCCTTTAAAAATATTCCCTTCTGATTTTTAATTTTTCTTCATGCATAAAACTGAGCTGTAGGTTTTCAACTGTTGCCTCTACCTCTTATATATCTTCAGCCCAATTAAGAGTATGCTTTGTTTGAAAACATCAAACATGTATAATAAGTTGGATTGTGGTCCATTGCTGTCTGCTTTTATAATTACATTCCCACTCTTGTTTTTTGGTCAACAATCTCAATTAAAGCAGCCCCTAACTCTCTACTGAATTCTGTGCTAAACATTACTGGGCTTTGTAATTTGAAAAGGTCAGTTTATCAGCAACCTCCCTCGCACAAAAATATGCTTGGTTATTATTAACACTAATGAAAGTCAGAACTCTTTTCAGACAATTCAGTCACACACTATACATTAAAGGTACTGGAGAACATGAGCTGCCCACTCCCGTTTGCATATTAAAAAGAAAGAAGCAGGAAGTGGGAAAAAGGCAGGCTATATTTGCTTTCATAGACATGTTTGACTGAAGAATTAGCACGCTAAGAATTTGTTAAAGATCTCAAGAAAAGGATAGCATTTGAATAAAATCCTCAAGGATATAAAATCCTATCAGATAGGAAAAGGGAACTGAGTTCAAGGACAAATAGACAAAAACCATATTAGGATGGTTTAGTATGTTTTAATAGTTTATGTGGCAAATTATAACCAATTGTTCTCCTTAACACAGGGCGATGCTGAGGAGGAAGCAAGCTTTGACAGAACTGCCAAATTTTGTTCTGATTTAGTGAAGCACTTTCTACTGGTGCATTCAAAGGGAGCCCAAGTATCAAATGATATCATTCTCATTCACCTTACAATTTTCTCCCAAGTTGTCAGTTTGTAGAACTATTTAACACGTGTTTAAGCGTTCTTCTGAAAGAATATTAAATGTGTATAAGAAGTAGCCTCCCAAACACCTGAGATGCAGGTCTCCAATCCTACAAAGCAGCTCTGGGTAATCAGGTAGAGAAAGAGAGGCCTCTCTGGTTGAAAGAACCAAATCGTCCACTGCCAAGAACAGAACAGCTCTGGAAAACAGTTCCTGGGGACCAGAGGTGAAGGGGCTTGCCAGCAGCAGCTCAAATTAGCCAATGCAAGTTGAGCAGATCTCATTCACTGACCACATTGTCAACAAGGTATCATATTCATTTATACAATTTATTTAACTGTTCAATTCATGACAGTTACTCTGGGTGGTGCACACAGAATTAAAACCAACAAAACATAACAACAGAAACTCAGAATAGTAATAATATATAACAAATGCCTAGGCCTAAAAATCCAATATTATGGTAACCTGTACTCATCAAACAACAAATCCATTAATATGGCTGGTTTAACTACCTGGCCCCAGTGCTTGTCTTTAATGCCTTACAGAAGGGTTGGGGCCATCCTGATCTCTGGTGGGACGCTGTTCCATAGGGCAAACTCTGTGACATGAGAAGGCATGACTCCTAGGTCCCACAAGATGGCATATCCTAAGGGAAGGGACCTGGAGCATGCCAACCATGCCAGTCCTGATAGGCTGAGTGGAAATGACTGGTGACAGATGGTCCTGCAAGTATTGTGACCCAATGCCATGCAAGGCTTTATAGGTGACAGCCAACGCCTTGAAATGCACCAAAAAGCCCACTGGGAGCCAGTGCAGCTTGCAGAACAGAGGTGTCATATGGATGTATCATGAATTGTCCAAAAGTGCCCATCCTGTTGCATTCTGGACCAGCTGCAGTTTCCAAATGCTCTTTAAAGATAATTCCAAGTACAGCACATTACAGTAATGCAGCCAGGAGGTGACTAAGACATGAATTACCAGTAGTGGGGCTTCACAGCTTGTATTTATATATTGCAAGGAGAGAGAAAATACCACTTTTACACTGGAATAGCTGAAGATGAACATAAGCTGCCTCCACAATAAGATGGTAGTGAAATCAAGACAATGTCACAAGAATATGTCCTTTAAAAATAGCTACAGTACTAGGGCATTTTTGTGCCATAGTTAGTGAGATACAAAAATGAGCCTTACAACTAAATATGGACCAACCCATACCTTTTTTATTTTTTGCTTTATCATTTTAACTGAGGGTTCTTAAGCTGCTCTAATAAAACTATTATCTAAATACGGATGTTTCTTAGAGCAGCACAGCTACTTTGACTATTTTGCCTTTTGAGCCCCATATCTCTAACATCATTATACCTACATTTTATACTTAAGTCTGCTAGAAGAACTATAATCCTAACTGATCTTGAACACCCTCAGAATCTTTCTCCCAAATCCCCACTGTAGTAGCCACCCAAAACTATCTCAAACCCATGACTCCCAGCCATTTCCCTCTTTGGGTACTGAAATAGTTTTCTCCACTTCTGCTCCATTAAGACTGGTGCTCTCCTGTCTATATGACTCTTATTATACTCAAGTGCCATATTGGCTGAGGATGACAGATCATGTAATACACTTTGAGGGCAGCTGGCTGGGAAAGACTGATCAAGACAGTGGAAGAAAATACTTCCATCTTCTTCCCCCACCCCCTTCGCATACAGCAGATCTGTGTCTCAAAAATAATGGACCTACGAACTCAGTGAAGCAACCTAGTTATGAAACAGAGCCATATTTGTTAATCTCATAATTCAACTGCCACACAGGAGGTTGCTTTATAAGAAATCACATTTGCAAATCATCTAATCCAGTTTCCTTGACAAACACTAGCTAGCATTGCACAACTTTTCAATCCATGGTTAACCAAATGATGGTTTACTGATTTATCTCTATTTTCTGGTTTTCCATGACACATAGAAAGATAAACTAACACACACCATCTGGATTCAAGCTTTTTATTAATGTAGCTTGTGCTCTAGTGGGTTGTGCAATCACAGCTAGAGTCTAGCTTGTAGGGGGGAAATAAAGCCATACAGTATTCAAATGAAACAAAATGAACACACTGAATCATAAAGTAACCACACTGGGTGGGCTCATACAGCACACTAACCCATAAACTAGTCATCTGCATTTTAGCCTACAGAAGTACTTGTACAAACCCAGCCACTGACTAGCAGTAGTTCTCTATCTGCAGAATATTTCTAGCCTAATCTGATGACCCCAGGGATCACACCTAGCGCTTCTTGCACACAACTCATCTAGCTTATTACTGAAATAGAGTCCCTTCCGTGACTTATGGAAGGGACTGAGTAGAAAATCTAGTGCTTCTTCAATTCATCGCTGAAACAGCCACGGAGGCCCTAAGTCTGTTCCTCCATTCCAAACCCGACCCCCAACTTCCTTTCCAGCTACCCTACCGTACTCCTACATCAAACGCTACCAAAGAGACCTCTCGTCAATCTTCAGCGATGCCTCCCAGTGCCCCCAGCCCTTTCTCGGGCGCCGCATTATCTCCGATGGGCGCGCTTTTGTCCTACCTATACATTCGCTCACCACCTTCACCTCCCCTCCCAGTCGATTCCGTCGCCATCTCATATCTGCCGCTTTGCCTTCCCATTGGCCGCTCAATCGCAGGAGTCAATTGGCTGTTTCCAGAGCAGCTCGTCCGCCCCCACATTTTCCTCACGCAGCTATTGGCCTGTTCGAATGTGGTAACCGCTTAACGATTTTTCGCAGTCTTCTAGGAGAATTGATAAGAAAGAAGAGGCAAGGAGCTATGTTGCGCCAAGTTTCCTGGGACCTGTAGTTTTGGCGCGAATTTTACAGTCCCTGTGTGATCAGAAAAAATACTGAGTTTGGAACCCATAGAGGTGGCTGTCACTTTTAATGAGAGATGGACATCTGCTGCGAGAAGGGGACGCAGATGGAAGCTTTATCTGCTGAACTTAGGTCACCAGAAATAATTTGGGGGACACAAGAGCACCTATACCCAACATTAGGAAATAAGATTTGGATTACTCGCAAACCATTACAAAAGTTAAGGAACAGTGTCCCCTTGGAATTTAGACTTGCCCCATCCCTTTTAACATTTCAGAAGTTACTTAAGACTGAACAAATCAGAAGCTGCTCTAGAAACAGCTAATTGACCCTTAAGAAAAACAAATGGATTTTTGTTCTTTAGTTACATAATTTTGTCTATGGGTTATTTTATATTTTCTGAGATTATTGATTTCTTAATTTTTATCATGAATGTTTTATTTCCATGGCTGTTTATTCATATGGTTGCAAGCTGCCGTGAGCCTTTATTGATGTGGCAATACAAATAGAATGAATAAATAATTCATGCAAAGCAATTGATAATTTTATATGGAATAGAAATGAAAAGAACAAAAATTACCTGCCAGGGCGGCAGTTCAGTGCTTTAAAATAGCACAGATCATATTTCAACCTGCAGAACATACTACTTAAAGAATGAAAGAGCTGCATGTCCAGCAGAAAGTCTAAAACATTGTAAACATTGTGACAGAAGAGTTATGTAAATTAGACAACTTTTTTATATACCATACTGAACATAATTTTGATAACAGTACAGTATGGCAAAAAATATGCCGCAGTGGGTAAATGAACTGAAAATTAGAAGTGTGGCTTCTGCTTTAATAAATGCAAGAGCTTAATGGTATTTGAATAACTAGAGATGTGACCTTTTTCGAAATTTTGAAGCAACAAGAAAAATTGGAGGGTGAAAATGAAAATGTGGGAAAAATTGAAATATGTGCAATTTAACACTTTTTCTTCATCAAATACATTGTTAATTTATAAAATGTATTATTTATAATGCTTGGTTTATAAAAGTGTATTTAGTATATAAAATTGAAAAATATATTTGTTCAGACAATTATAAACTAATATTGTAAATGTAATAAAATATTTTAATTTTTTTTTTTACAAATGGAGTTACAAGCTGTTAAACCCCAAGGATGTAACATTTCATGTTTACCTGCTTAGGAGGAACATGGGCAAAAAACCCCCAAAAAGAAACCATCAACTTTGTAATAAAACAAAGAAAATTATATATTCTAGATTTGTCCACCAATACATCAAACATACATACAAGAAGCATTTCTTTTCAGAATAAAGCTGAAAATGTTTTGCATTGATTTGCCCAGTCTGCGCCATTATTTGAATTTCTATCACTATCAGCAGCTTCTACTTTGATTTTTAGTTTTATAATTTTTGTGGACTTCTGAAAACTGAAGATTTGTTTGAATACCATATTTGTTTTACAGAATTATTTCTAAACAGACCATTTTTTCACATCTTAAACATTTCACATATTATTTAAAATTAATATATTAGGAAACATAACCTTTTAAAAAAAATTTAGAGAAAAAAAATGAAAAGCCTTCAGAAAAAAAAATCTGGGTTATTTTTCCAGACCTTCAAATCTCAGTGAGAACAGAAGTAAATTTTGAACTAGGCAGCAGTTTAGCACCATACTCACACCATTTCACTCTGCATCTTTTTTTAAAATGCATAAGAAAACCATTGAACATTCTGTTTGAGAATCATTTTTAAGTGACAGTACGAGAAGACATTTTGAGAAATCAAACTTCCATGGGCATGTTTGCCTGCTTAGCAGATGGTTATTTTATATTGATAGATAATCATTTTTAGGAGAAGGTTTTTGGAATGTTAATTAATGGCTAGCAGTTCACTCTGCCTTTTGCCGGGGGGGGGATGTCTTAAATTTGCCAGAGTAGATTTGTTAAATTATTGTACTTAAAAGTTTTAGTCAACACTTTTTTTCTGCTGCAACAAATTAACACTGGAGTTGGGTGGCCAATAAATTTAAATAAATAAATACATTTCTACATATCTACCTCCCTCCAACTATTCTGATAGGTCAATTAGTTTTCCTAATATATTTTGCTATAAACAGGTAGCATGTTTCGAATTCCTCTAAATGATTTTTCATTCCTCTGATAATCATAAAGCCTATTTCCATCATGCTTTCCAGAAACATAAAGGACAAAGGAACAGTAGGTCATTATATCCCACACACACACACACACACAGCACATGCACACACGCACACACACACACACACACACAGCACATGCACACACGCACACACACACACACACACACAGCACATGCACACACGCACACACACACACACACACACAGCACATGCACACACGCACACACACACACACACACACAGCACATGCACACACGCACACACACACACACACACACAGCACATGCACACATGCACATGCACACATGCACATGCAAATACGCACTTTCCCACACCACATGGGGCTTCATATATACTATTTACATTTAAACTGTTCACAGACAAACCTTTGGCATAGCTCCTAAATGGCCTAGAATTAAGTTGAAGAATAAAACCATAACAGAGACCATACAATCCCAGTTCTTAAAAAAAATCCTTCAGGTGGCAATTTGCATCGTGAATGTGGCACTTTGATTTTTCAGAAGCAGGAATGATAAAATTGGACTCCAGAGCATGATTAAGAATTAATTATTGGTTTAATTTAAGCTTCTGGTCACAAGACTTAGTCCCCTTGTTGATCACTTTCAAGCTTCATGGGTGTGGGGTCTGACTTGCCCATCAGATGCCCCTATGAATGCGAAATGACAAAGTTAAGGCAAATGAGGCAAAGTTAAGACAGAGAATAATGGATATCGACATACTGATAGATTGTTATAGAATTTCTGCAAATGTAACCATTAGAAATTGGATGTACAAACCCCAGGCAGCAAGATACTTGGAGTATCCCTTATAGTACAGTATTGTAGAGCATTTAATATCCTTCCCTCAACACTCTAGAAGGAAGACAGAAAATTGCCCCGAACCGTGGCACTGGACTAGTTGTTAATAGAATGGTTCATATGCTTAGTAAGGGTTATGTTACCTAATTTGAATGTTTTAATTTTTACTTATTTATACAATAATGGCAGGCCACCCTGATCACTTAAGATTCTGGATTGTGAATAATATTAACAATGATAACAGTACCAAAATAAAAACAACAAAATACATGCTCAAGAGGAACATCCACAACAATCAGTTTGAGCTAAACACACATTGGAACAGTGTGATTGTAATGACATTGTGAAATGTAAGGAGGGCAGGGGCTGTCAGAGAGTTGTTTGGGGTGTCTGTTGTAGGCATGAACTAGAGTATTGGTCAGTAGCTATAATAAAGTTGAACTTGAGTATTTTAACATACCTGTCAACTAGGTTCACATACCAGTTAAGGTAGTTGCTATCTAGAGAGCTCTTTCTACAATAAATGTGTCTCTAAGACAGAATGGGGAACCTGTGGTCTTCTACATTTTTATTTAATTCTGGAATTACAGAGCCTAACAAATTTAACCAGCATGACTGAGGGATCCTAAGAGTTATAGCTGCAATATGTGGAGGGTACTGATTACCAATTTCTGCTTTAAGTAGTTGAAATATATCCAAAAAAGGATGTATTTTAAGTGCCACGTATTAAACTAGATGCCCTACAGGGACTTTTCTTTGGAAAGCTGTGAGGAAGAAAAATGAACAATACATTTACCAAAAGCTTATTAGAGAGTCAAATGGTATAAAGGTGGCTAAGCCCTGCAGACTATAAGTTCTAAAAATTGGCTGAAAAGAATGGTCCATTCCTTGGTCTCCCTATTACTTCTAAACTTTCTTCTGAACGATAGCTTAGAAGTCCAGATAGGAACAGGAATGGCACAAGCTTGGAGCATCTAGTTTTCATAAGCATATAAGCAGAACTAGCAAATACCTTATAAAAATAAGACGAGGAGGGATGGAATAATGAATGCTTAAAAAGTTTTAATTACAGATCTTTATTCATATGCAGGCTTCACATCTAGCAAATAATTTCCTCTATGGGAAATGGAAACTTCCAGGCTGTGTTCCAGCAAGTCTTTGCTTTAAACAAAATTGGAAGCAGCTTCTGTTTGGAGTGTAGTCAGATTCAATCAAGAAAATAAAAAGCTTGATTGCCTCCAAGCTTAATTAAGAAAAACACAGGCAGATGGATACATTTACAGATTTTACTCTTATGGGGGAAGCATGGTGCTGCTGCCTTATAAAGTATTTTATTGGAGGAAAACTTGGATAATTCAAAATTACAAAATAATACACTCTTCCCATCTAACTCAATTTTTGCTTGATTGTTGAAAACGATTGGGGAAGAGTTTGTGTCTCCTCAAAGAAGCCTACACACCACACCCATGAACTGTTTATTATGGTAACTTCTCAGAACATCAAGGCAGCCTACGTATTTCAGGGTACCCTTTTACCCTTCACGTTTTACCTACTTTTTACAAGCTTCTTTGTTCCACAAACGGAGCTAACCATTTAGTCAAAAGTCCAAAAAGGGAAGTGCAGATTTTTGAAGACATGGATGGTCTGCAGAGTTCCATTCCTGCTCATTTGGATGGTGGCATCAATATCAGCCATGATACTCATCAACAGTCCATTACACATTACACATCCCCCCAAAAATCTGGAATTCCTTAACATCAAAATACTGCAGTTTTACCGTTTTTAAATTAGCTCTTCCTCTTGAAAATCTTTTCAATC